TTCGAACCGTGCGACAGCCTCTTAAATACTGGAATCACATCTTTCGTAAAGTAATTTAGAATCTTTTCCTCGTGCCACATGACTCCAAACAGATTTACTAACGCCAGTGTTCCTTAATTATCTCTGGTTGTATTCCTGCAACTCTGCCATTTTTCATTTTTCATAGAGTTTCATTCACTTCTCCAAGGATCAGTAATCCAAACATAATATTGTATAATGAATCTTGTTTTACAATCATAGCATGGTTGAAGTTCAAACAGTAGCGACAACATATTTTGGTGCTGTCAGACTGGTGCTGCCTGATGCGGCCTCGTGTGGCCATGCTTTGAATCACCTGAGAGTTAACTGTTTAGTGACAAATCAGTACTTGCAATCGAGAGAAAAAATCGAATGCCTTGTTCGTGCCCTGCAAAGACCTCGTTTGTTTATGATACTTTTCATACAGTTTATTCAACATTTAGATACGAACAAACGTCGAAAACTCGTGACGAACTTAGCCTACTCAACTGGCCAATACTCTTCTGTCTGCCCTTAGCTGACTTAATAGGCTGGTATAGGACGAAGATATCTGTACAGATTTTGGCTTCCCCTCTTCGCGATCACCATTTTTGTAAAACACCGTCCGTGAAGTTTTTCAACTTCTTGGATCCTATGATCTTGTTCAGCTGGTATAGATCGTGTCACTAACGTCATAGTCTATTTCCAGTCCATCTAACACAATGTTGGCGAATTTCACTCACTAAAACTTCAGATACGCTGGGTATCTATTTCTTTGTACGAAGGACAGTACTAATAACTGATCGAAAAAGATTACTGCAAAATCATCCCGCAGTTTAATGGTTCAGTCGTTCAGCCGATTTATTACCAAGGCTAATATTGCTTTCTGGCTTACTATTAACAATACGTGAATAGTTGTTAATTAATTATAATTAACTGTTCTCAAACGTGCAATAACTATATCTCCGTAGTAAAGCGAACCCAACGTCTGTCTTTCAAATCAAAAGCCAAAAATTCCGCAACAAGGTTTGGTGGCAGTTTGCTCAAACATACACCATAAATCGACTTTCAAACGGTGGCTGAATTCCAGCACTTTAACAGTTTGGTCAAGATGCCGGGATGTCAGAAACCGATTTACAGGCTGAAGGTAACGCGAAATCACGTCATTAATTCAGATAAAAAATGATGCACAAACCTCGCAGAACCTAAACAGAACGTTTATTCACAAATACACACTGGCGTACAAAAACTGTCCGGCGATAACTTCACCAAAACCATAAAAGCAGAAGGATGATACAAAGAACAAGCAAAGCATATAATTTAAACAGATCATAATGACTGGATTATTCTCTAAGCTGCTCCAACGAACACGGATGTGTCATTGCAAAAACGGGAAGTCAAGAAGCGAAGAGACGAATCATAAGACACCCGTCCGGGCGAAAATCTGGCGTAGCAGACGACATCGTGACCGGATAGACGAAACTGCTCAAAAAAACCTTTGGCACCGGCGATCGCCAGGGTGCGACCTTCGGGTGAAAAGCGTGCGGTGTAAACGACATTCTTTGTGGACAATGACTGTAATATTTTCCACATTCGCACGTCCCAGAAAGTGAGGTGACGTTGACGGTCTGCTGTGATCAACGATAAGCCGTCGGGGCTAGCGACTAGCTCTGTTACCGCTGAAGTCAACTCGGAAAGTATACGGACAGGTCTTGCACACGTCGTCGACCATATACGGACAGACCTATCAGCCGAGGCGGAGGCGACGCACATGGGTATGCGAGTGACATTAGTCAGAAAACGAACGATAAGTACAGGACGCTGATCATGGTAGAAGAAACGCACCGGCACACTGCGCTCGAAGACGAACAGATGCG